CTTCTCCTCCATTTCTCCCTCCTGGCAGGATCTGGGGCACACATACACATCTGGCCTGTTTTTCAAGCCACTGGAAACAAGGCTGAAATCACACAATTGGTCGCGTGCGATCCAGCTGCCTTATCCACCATGCCACCAGCCTGCCCCGATATTTTTTTTTTTTTCTCTAAATGAGAAGACTAAGATTACAGAGCTTTCATTACAATATTAAACATCTACTTCTGTACACTCAACCGGGTGGCGAAGACATACACCAAGACCCAGGTCTTACATTTGAAAACACTTTTTTCGAAATGCTTGTCAAAGAACTTGGAATATCCCTGTGATGAGCTCGGCTCTCATCTGAGACACACAGCCAGTATTTTATGAACGTCAGATCAAGGCCTGAGAGGCTCAATGAGTTTATGATGTGACACTGAGTGTTCATGGAGGAGCCAGTACACCAGCCAGATCTCTCGAGGCCAACCCCAACTCCCACTCAGCCCTGAACTGAATCTGGAAAACCCTCATCAAAAGAGCAGATGCGATGATTAGAGAATTCTGACCAGTTGACAACTTACCCTCAAGGTGTGATGCTCCTGGGTGAGATAAGTGGTCACCTGGGAGTGCAGGGTCACTGCGTCCAGGAACTGGGTCCACAGGGCCATCAGGTGGGAGGTGAGCCAGGCAAGATCCTTACTGATCTGCTCAGCAATCTTCTCTGGGCTGTTCAACATCTAAAGAGGCAAGAAAGGCAGAGTCAGTCCCCCCTCCACTAAGCTTCCGTGGTCTTCTCTCTGAAGCCTTCACTGACTTTCCTGTTTTCTTAAATTTCATTTACATTCTCCATGAGAGAAGGAAAGACCTCCAACAGGGTCTCCATTCCATGGCCCCACCTCAGCAGGGCTGGACCATGGAAACACACACCCACCATTCTCAGGGAAGGGCCTGCACATGGACTCAGAACCTTTCCAGGCAGGTCCACTTGTATTGGCACCACACTATCATGTGGTAAATTTAACATTTTTAATGAGTCTCTCTCCCTTCTCTGTACATCTATGACATTTTAGACCTTATATTCCTACGGGATTCCTTTATTCTATCATGCTTGATCTGAGAGTTCAAACGCCAAGGATGATAACAAGTCATTTAGGTAGTGTCTGTCTAAAAAATAACATCCAAGGCCCTTAGTGTTGCTGCGAGACGACCCGCTACCTAGCACCAGTCTCTCTCTTCCATTTCGTTTCATCTGCATGTAAGTTGTAGGCAGGCAGAGTCTTTTAACAAAAATTACTTTATTTACTTATTTTTAATATTGCATTTAATCACATATATCTTCGCAGTATATAACATTTCTTTTTCCAGCACAATTACCATGCATGTCATTCCAGACAAAGATATTACTATCTACAACATCATCAAATACATTTTCATTTTTTTAGATTATTATTATTATTTTTTTTATTTTCTTTAAACATTCACTTGCTATACACCATTTGGCTTGTAAAGAGAATTTACCCAACATGAAATACTTCTCAGACCAGTCCAGTGGAGAACACTGTACATATTATCATCAACAGGTAATAAACCCATTAATGTCATGCCTCTCTATTTTTCTCCTACTTTCCTTCTCTATACTCTTCCCTTCTCCCACCTACTCTCTTTCCACACTGTCTTTAGGGTCCATAACTATTTTCACAGCTTTTATGCCTTCCAATATTTCAAGCTCTACCATAAAGTGCGGATAGTTGGTATGTATTAAGTGGATACATGCAATATCTTTCTTTCATAGCCTAGCTTGCTTCACTCAGCAATAAATCTTCCATATTCAGCCACTTTCTATGAAATGCTAGGGTCCTATTTTTTATGGCTGAATAACATTCTATAGAGTATATGTGTCACACTTTTTCAATTCGTTCATCTGTGGACATTTGGGTTGGTTCCATGTCTTAGCAATTGTGAATAATGCTGCAACAAACATTAATGTGCAAGTGCTTTTCTGACTGAGTATTCTCCTGTCCTTTGGATAGATACCCAGCAGTGTGACTGCTGGATCAAATGGTAGTTCTATTTGTATACTGTTAAGGGACCTCCATATTGTTCTCCACAATAGCTGGACCAGTTTACATTCCCATCTGTGTAGGAGAGTTCCTCTTTCACCACAACCCCACCAACACTTATCACTATTTGTATTTTTTATTTTATTTTATTTTAATTTTTTTGGAGAGGTGTTTGTTATAGGGCACATGCACTCATCAGAAAGACAGAGAGACAGAAAGCTAGAAATCCCTTCTCCATTTTCCTCTCAGGATCTTGGGCAAGCACGCACATGCACCCGGTGTGAGTTTAAGCCAGCGGGTGCGGGTCCAGGACTGGAACTGTGGTTAACTATATGGGAGTCCAGCAACATAGCCATTACGCCACCTGCTGGTCCTCACTTTTTGTATTTTTAATCTTTGCCATTATGGCAGGGGTTAGGTGGTATTGCATTGTGTTTTTATTTTATTTTATCTATTATCATAATCTTTTTTATATTACATTTAATCACATATATCTTTACAGTGTATTACTTTTCTTTTTCCAGCACAATTACCATACATATCTGTCAAGACAAAGACATTATTATCCACATCATCATCATCATCAAATAGCTTTTATGCATCTCCCTTATGATGAGGAATGTTGAGCATTTCTTCATATGCTTTTTGGCTGTTTGTATGTCTTCCTTAGAGAGATTTTTTGTTCAGCTCATTTTCCCATCTTTTAATTGGGTTAATCACTTTTTTTTTTTTTTTTCGGGTAAGCTGCTTGAGTTGCTTGTGTATTCTGGTTATCAGTCCCTTATTTGAGGCATATTTTACAAAAATATTCTCCCATTCTGAGGGTTGTCAATTCACACTAATTACTGTGCCCTTTGTTGTGCAGAAACTTTTTAATCTGATACAATTCCACTTGTCTATTTTAGGGATTATTTTCTGTGTTTTGGAAGTCTTATTTAAGAAGTCCTTACCTACTCCAATGTCTCCCAGAGTTTCCCCAGTGTTTTCCCCTGGTAGTTTTATAGTTTAAGTTCTTAGATTCAGATCACTGATCCATTTTGAGTTGATTTTTGCTAATGGTGGAATATGGGGATTCAGTTTCATCTTTCTGCAGGTGGATAACCAGTTTTTTCAGCACCATTTGCTAAAAAGGTTTTCCTTTTCCCAGTGGATTGACTGGCATACTTTGTCAAAAATCAGTTGACTATAAATTTTTTGGGTTTATTTCTGGGGTCTCTATTCTATTCCATTGGTCCACCTGTCTGTTTTTGTGCCAGTGTCATGCCGTATTCATATATTTCCACAAATTTCTTGCTCCTGATGACAGTGGCCACACCATCTCAACTCCTCTTTTAACTTCTCTAATCCTATCACCACAAAATTCACTACCTGTCAATATCCAGACCTGATTCCTCTTCGTTCCTTACACCTTCACTGTCACCTTCAGCTGGGAACCACTAACATCCTCCCTCCATTTCTCAGAGCACTGCAGAGGCTTTCACTGACCTGTACCCTACAGACCATTAAAATCTGAACTCTGCTTTGCAATTGGTATATATTCTACTTATGAATATATATTATTTGGCAAGTAGAACTTTAGGTATTTTATAAATGCTCCCCATTTATTTCCTCAAATTACTCCTTGGTAGACTTATTGAATGTAATCATTGTTTTGTAAGAATACAAAATGAAAGTTAGTAAATAAAATGACCAAGATCACACAGCGGGAATTAAGCTGGGTGATTAGCTCAAAGTCACATCACCAGGCCACCCTCACTTAGTGGGTATCGTAGAAACATCTGAGAGAGAACCAAGTCTTCATAACATAGCACCTAAGTAGACAGTGGTCACATGGCAGGCCCTCAACAGCTTTGGTCCACCACTATCACCCAACATTCCAAGCTGCCTTAGCTAAAATGTGAAGGAGCCAGACAAGAGAGGGCCTGGAGCCTTTGGGAGAATACCCTCTGGACAGAAACACTTTGAATAGTTGTAGTTTAGAACTAGGAGAGACATCTTCTTTGAAAGGGACTTGAATTCTTAAAAGGTGAGATGATAGGTCAGGTAAGACGGTACTGAGGGAGCCAGCTCTCAAGGCCTGACACTGAGTGCTAGGTTTTATCACTATTCAACAAGCACCTCAAGAGCATCTTTCATGACCCAGGGACATGTTTAGAATAAACTAAGACTCAAAGGTGAATAAGGGAGAGTCTCGGTAGGGAGGCTCACTCTCTGTTGATGATGTGGGTTCACAACGAAAAGCAGTGTTGAACTCTATCATGGCTGACTGACTGGAGTAGCCATTTCAAACCACTTTTCTCTCTCCTTTGTCCTGTGCCTCAGTTTCCTCATCTGTAAAATGACTATGCAAAGCAAACAACTGCTTTTGGATGTGCTAACCTATAGGGAAAGTTAAGTCCAATGCCTAAGCTTATAAAGCTCTGAGAGTTCTCTGTGCAACTTATGGGTGAAGGCTAATGGTAGAGGAAAACAGATCAGGTGTAATGTGAGGCATTTAAGAGTTAGGAAAAAGAAGGTAGGAGGAGCTTAGCATGTGGTAAGTCTCTGAGTATTGGACGTTGTTGCTTCAGATGCAGTGACTAGCTTCCAGACACAGGGTAACATGCAGCTGCAGTAACTCTGAGCTGCTTCTTCAAAGGTGAGATTAATCTTTAGTGATGACAGGAGCTACAAAGTTCCAAGAGAATGGCCTGTACTTTCTTTGATGGAAACATTACTTCCAGGACTGGCTCTGTGGGAAAGGAGGATAAAACAGGGAATGTCCATTCTTGGTCAATAGGGTGCTGAAAAGGAAGGGTCAGGTGAGGGCTCTGGGTGACAGGTCAGTCATGGAAAAACCTGGAGAGTTGGGTAGAGAGGGAGGCTTTCAGTTGGGTTACTAGTGACTTGTATTTGTATTCTCTAACAGGGACCCTCATTGATGGGAGCCAGTCTTCTGCATCAGTACTCAGCCCCATGATGCCCCTGAAAACATTTCCCACCTTTCCCCAAGCTAGCTCTCCTCTGGCCACTGCTCCAGCCATATTACTACCCACAATGGCCTGCACAAGTGAGCTATCTCCAACCACAGATGCTTGCCCAGGCTGCACCCTCAACCTGGAATGCCTTCCCCTCTCACCTCCCTATCTTCTTTCTTGTCACCAATTTGGATGTATCTAAGCTCCATCATGTAACTACTTAGAGTCAATTCTGCATCTTCCTGATTCTGGTAGCTGTTCCGAAATTCCTCCTATGCTCTAAGGGAAGACTGGCTGGGTTTGAAGCCCCCTTGCCCTGCATGGACCTCTCCCCCAGCACCTCCAGCTACCTGCTGCCTGTTTCCTTCCAGTGTCTCTCCTTGCCTGCGCTTTTTGAGCTTTAGGTTTCTCAGCATTCCCGTATCTAGCAGTGGCTGGGAGACCTTGGGAATTTAGTCACTCTTTATTCAATAAACTGGTGACTTGGTACCAGTAGGATGTGCCCCTTGCCTTGGTAACTCAGGCTTCCCTGCTGGGCTTCTTATTCTGTCACCCACAACTGCCCTGCTCTATAGAGATGCCAGCAGGCACAGCACACATACTGAGTTCAGGCACCAGAGTAAAAAGGAGGACGAGAAAAAGTTATTTGTTAAAAGTGTCTTTGGGTGAATTATCCCCCCACACACACACAGTCTATCACAGAAATGGTTCCAGAAATAC